CATGTGTGTTTCTGGATTGGTGCACATGTGTATTCCTGGATTGGTGCACATGTGTCTTTCTGGATTGGTGCACATGTGTGGTTCTGGACTTGTTCATGTGTGATTCTGGATTGGTGCACTTGTGTGATTCTGGATTGGTGCTCATGCGTGATCTGGATTGGTGCTCATGCGTGTTTCTGAATTAGTGCACATGCATGTTTCCAGATTGGCACACAAGCACGTTTCTGCATTGGTGCATGTGTGCAGTTGCAAACAATGCCAACTTTCAGCAGACACTGACTATTATTTATTGAAAGAGAAAATGATTACAGGACCACTAGGAAACAGTATGGGATTGGAACTGATTGGGTAGCTCTTCCAGGGTTGGATACAGTTCCGATGGACTGAATGGCCTTTTTTACACTCTCTGATTCTATGACATCCTTCTATTCCCTTCTCCTTCATGTACATGAAGTGGGGTTGGGGAGCTATAAACAGTACAGAGGAGGACTGCCACAAATGACGGGATCAAGGCCATTAATAAACATGCAGAATTGGTGGTAATTGACGAGTAAGGTTTGACACAGATGAACATGAGATCATGCATTTTGTAGGAATAATGGGGAGGCCGTGACTTGCTTGGAAAGTGCAAGTTCTTATGAGGCAAGTTTTGGTAGGTTAGGGTTGTACTCATTGGATTTTAGAAGAATGAGAGGAGGCCCTATTGAAACATTTAAGACTCTTAAGGGGCTTGACTGGGTAGATGCAAAGAGATTGTCTCCTCTTCTAGGTGAGTCTAGGACCAGGGGCCATAAACTCAGGTTAAGGGGTTGCAAGTTAAGTCAGAGATGATGGTGAATTTCTTCTCTCAGAGGATAATGAATCTGTGGAATTCTTTACCATACAGGGCTGTCAAGGCTGGGCCATTAAAAGTATATTCAAGGCTGAAATAAACAGATTGTTAATCAGTAATGGAATCAAGGGCTATGGCCAAAAGACGGGAAAGTGGAGTTGAGGATCATCAAACCATCCAAGGTCTCCTTGAATAATGAAGCGGACTCAATGGGCTGAATGGCCAGCAGACTCTGCTCAGAACTATCCATCAAACCATTGAAATGACTTGACAGGATCCCAACAGGTGAATGGTTTGAGGTGAAATGCATCTCTCTGCTGTTTCAGTGGAGGTTTAAATAGCATAGAACCTTTGGCAAAATAGGCAGAGGAAAGATTTTGGACAGACATGTTGAATTTGATGGTAACATTTCAGAGTCGCTAAGAACACTACCTGAATAAGCTGTGAAAACAATTTTGTTTTGTTTTGTGAAAACAGGTTTCTTCCGGATTGCAAATGATGCTCTATACAACGGAGATGCCAACCGGAGATTACGAATTCCTGTGTGATAAGGAGAGTGTTAATTCATTTGGAGCAGCACTGATGCCCAGCTTCTACATGATCGTTTTAATGCTGAGTATCGTTGGAAATGGATTAGTTTTACTGGTGCTTGTGAAATATGAATATCTAAAAAGCATTACAAATATATTCATTCTTAACCTTGCCATTTCAGATTTGCTTTCGGCTATTTGCCTCCCTTTCTGGGTGGTCCATCATTTAAAGGGATGGATCTTTGGTGTGGTCATGTGCAAATTAACGAGTGGTATGTTTTACATCGGTTTTTACAGTGGCATAATGTTCTTGACACTGATGACAATTGACCGGTACCTTGCGGTTGTTCACGCTGTCTCTGCTGCCAGATCTAGAAAAGTTCGCTATGCAACGGTCACAAGTGTGATTGTCTGGCTGACCAGTACATTAGCAACCGTCCCTGATTTTATCTTTGTTGACTTAGATGAAGATCCCGAGAGGGAAATCTGTGACAACGTTTACCCGTATGATACAGCAGTTCCATGGAAACTGTTCAGATATTATCAACAAAATATAGTGTTCTTTGTCCTTCCATTCATTATCATAGTGTACTGCTATTTTAGGATAATTCAGACATTGGTAAAATGCAGAACAGTGCAGAAACACAGGACACTACGAGTTATATTCACCATTGTAGTGGTATTCTTCTTATGTTGGGCACCTTACAATGTAGTGATCTTCTTAAGATCTCTGGAGGAGATTCAGCTGCTGCAGTTTGAGAGCTGTGATTTGGAGATGCAACTGGATTATGCCCACACCATCTCTTACACCGTGGCTTATTTCCACTGTTGTCTCAATCCCATTTTTTATGCCTTTGTCGGAGAAAAGTTTAGAAGACACTTGATTCACTTCTGTGACCACTATTTGCCATGTGGTCTGCTGTTTCACCAGCGGCATAATGTCACCAGGAATGTCCACATGGAATATTCTGATGGTTCCATGGGTAATGATACAACAAATAACTGGTAGTCTGACACTTTTCATAGAATGCACATTTGAGGAAATTTGTATTTTTTTTAGTCAACTTGAATTTTCTAATGTTTTTAATGTACTGTAATCAAGACTGATCTATTGTATTAAGAGTAACATGGCAAAAAAATAGCTTTAATGGTTACAAACATTACAACATTTTTACAAGGATTTAGTAAAGACTTTATATTGTATTTTTTTCTTCAGCCCTGCTTCTTAGCGCAAATTTAGCAGACAATTGTGCATAATTTACTTCTTAAAACAATTTTGCTTCTCAAAACTTATGTAAGTTTTTATTTGTTTCCATATTTCATGGTTGGATAACTGTGTTAATTGATTATACTAAGTTTGCTTATGTTGAAAATATTACATTCAGGAAATGACAGATAAATAAAAGTCTTATTGCGCTTGTTACTCAACTACTGTGCGTTCTAATGGTGGATTTCAAAATAATTTATCAGACGTAGAACTAATGTAAACCCAGTGGTAAAGAGCTTGCAGATTGCGACAGGGGAGTTGCTGAAATAGCATTGATTTTTGAACTTGAGGGTGATCCGAAACTCCAAAAATAATTCAGGAATGATCCTGATTCAGTTTCCAGTTGTCACACTCGATCATCCTCCATTAAAGCCCCCACTCAAGCCCCAGACCACTCATTCTGGACTGGCAGGCTGACCGATGCCAACAAAGACGCTGGCACAGTGGCTGGTGGGGGAGATCGCACGTGGCAATCCTAAGAGAAGAGACAAGTGTCTCTCACGTGGTACTTATGCCACACTCAGCCCTCAGGTTTTGCTGCAGGCTAGAGCACTGGATTGATGTCACATAGTAGGCCTCAAAACCGAGATGGCAGCCACGTAGGCTTCCCGTCAGCCATTTTCATTGCCATGGAGTCTCCAGCATTGTCAGAAGACACTCCAACATCAAGGAATCAGTAAAATGGAGATGGCAAAACATTTTTTTCACTCTAAGGGTAGTTGAGACGTGGAGTTCAGTGCCTGGAAGAAGGTAGAAGCAGAAACTCTCACTCCATTTAAATAATACCCTACTTGAAGAGCTCTGACCTGGCAGTTTATGCACTTGCTGCAGGAAGGAGAGGTCCAGTTCTGTAGCTCTCTATTAACCCAGCACAGACACAATGGACCAAATAGTCTCCTTCTGTTATGTTAATTCTCTATCATCCATCTATTTCTATTCAGTGCCTGTGAGGCTGACTGCTCAGCTCATCCTCGAAGGAATGGTCTCCGTGTTCTGTGCAAGTTCTAGACACAATGTTGGGGTGGGCTCTGTCATGCTCGAATACACTGAGCGCAATAAGCTCTCCAGCAGTGACAAGCTCAGTGCTTAAATGTAAGAGTGAGACAAAGGTTCATTTATGGAAAGCATCTGAAGCTTGTCATGCAGATTGCAATGGAAGGTCTCTCCTCACAGTCAGGTTAGGTATGTAAATTACCTCTTCCTCCTCCAGTGGCAATCTGTTGTCTGATGCTGTCACTTTCTCCTGAGGACAGTGTGAAAATAAGAAACCTTGTGAAGTATTAGAAAGATGTGGCTGTGATGGTGGAATGGTGCGAGACACGCTTTGTTTCCTTAGTGATGTTAGTTGGAGTGCGTGAACGTGAGAAGATGGAGGTCTGTATAAATGATTTGAATGTGAATATAGGAGATATGGTTAGTAGGTTTACAGACGACACCAAAATTGCTGGTGTAGTGGACAGTGAAAGAGATTATCTCAGAGTACAATGGGACCTTGATCAGATAGGGTGATGGGCCGAGGAATAGCAGATAGAGTTTAATTTAGATAAATGTGAATTATTGCGTTTCGGTAAGGCGAATCAGGGCAGGACGTACACGCTTAATGGCTAGTTATTGGTGAGTGTTGCCGAACAAAGAAACCTTTATTGGTCAGTGTATTGAGTATAGGAGTTGTGAGGTCATATTGTGGCTGTACAGGACATTAAGTAGACCACTTGTGGAATCCTGTGTTCAATTCTGGTCTCCCTGCTATAGGAAATATTTTGCAAAACTTGAAAGGGTTCAGAAAACATTTACAAGGATGTTGTTGGGATTGCAGGATTTGAGCTATAAGCAGAGGCTGAATAGTCTGGGACTATTTTCCCTGGAGTGTCGGAGGCTGAGGAGTGACCTTGTAGAAGTTTGTAAAATCATAAGGGGTATGGACAGAGTGAATAGTCAAGGTCTTTTCCCCAAGGCAGGGAATTCCAAAACTAGAGGGCATAGGTTTAAGGTGAGAGGGGAAAAATTTAAACGGGACCCAAGGGGCAATATTTTCACACAGAGGGTGGTGTGTGTATGGAATGAGCTGCCAGACGAGGTGATGGAGGCTGGTATGATTACAATCATTTAAAGGCATCTGGATGAGTTCATGAATAGGAAGGGTTTGAGAGGGATATGGGCCAAATGCTGGCAAATGGGACTAGATTTGTACAGGATATCTGGCTGGCATGGACAAGTTGGATCGAAGTTGTTTCCATGCCATGCATTTCTATGACTATATCTCTATGGGGCAGCATGGTGGCTCAGTGGTTAGCACTGCTGCCTCACAGTGCCAGGGACCCGGGTTCGATTCCACCCTCAGGTGACTGTGTGGAGTTTGCACGTTCTCCCCGTGTCTGCATGGGTTTCCTCCAGGTGCTCCGGTTTCCTCCCACAGTCCAAAGATGTGCAGGCTAGGTGGATTGGCCATGCTAAATTGCCCGTAGTGTTCAGGAATGTGTAGATTAGGTGGGTTATATGGGGAGGGGTCTGGGCAGGTTGCTCTGAGGGTCAGTGTGATCTTGTTGGGCTGAAGGGCCTGTTTCCACGCTGTAGGGATTCTATGACTAGTGAAAAATGGTGCTGTGATTTCAGGATGCTTTATCAATGCTGCAGCCATGAACTTGTTGTACTGCTTCTAGCATCAATGCTCTCAGCTCTGTGCTCCCACTGGTCCCTATAGAGATAGCCAGAGGATATCTTCCCCAAAAAGGGTGTCCTTCCTCCTGTCCACTACCTGCAGCAAGAGAGAACCATGGTCACTACCTTCCACAGAATTATTCATACGCTTCCTCCAGAATTGCAGTAGAGTGCCTGACAAGAAAATAAAGCATTTGAGTTTTTTTTTGTTACAATTTAATTTGTCTATCAACTCTTTAGAGTTTTGAAGAATGAGAGAAGATCTACTTCAGGTATATAAGATGTTAAAATGGATTGACAAAGTAGATGTAGAGAGGATGTTTCCTTCCACATGCGGGGCAATCCCGAACGAGAGGTCATAATTTTAGGATAATGGGCCGCAGATTTAAAACAGAGATGAGGAGAAATTACTTCTCTCAAAAGGTTGTAATCTGTGGAATTCGCAACCCCAGAGTGTGGTGGATGCTGGAATAGTGAGTAAATTTAAGCAGGAGATAGACAAAATTTTGACTAGTAATGGGTTGAAGGGTTACGGAGAGCAGACAGAAAAGTGGGGCTGAAATGAAATCAGCCAAAAGACCATGAGTTGTAGGAGCAGAATTAGGCCATTTGGCCCATTGAGTCTGCTCTGCCATTGATCATGGCTGATATATTTCTCAACACCATTCTCCGTGGTCATATTTAATGTCAGAGCAGGCTCATAGGGGCTGAACTACCTACTCTGCTCTTAGTCCTTCCTTTCAATGCTCTTATTATATGCCAGATAAGCACTCTAAGGGGGAATGCCATTTCAAAAAAGCTTACTGAGGCAGTTTTAAATTGGATGGTAACATAAAAGTGTTATTGAAACATGATAAAAACAGGAATTAAAATCAGTGGATAGGAAGTGATTGCATATTGTTACAATCTTGGAACAGAGTAGTAACTTTCTATTTAAAAATACCCTAAAATTCCACTTACTTTACAAAAAGAGTGAAGCCACAAGATTCTGTGGTTTGAAAATAAAAGAATTTTTATTTTACAAAATTCTAACATTGCAATAATTAGCATTTGCCCATTAATTAACATCCAGATGTAAGTTAAAATTCACAGGAAAATTACATTGGCTGCAAACTATAACCAATGTGTACAAGTAAGACCGATCTGACAACTTGGACCAGCAGCTTACACAGTATATGTAATTGAATTCAGTCAGAAGTCCTTTAAAACTCTATCTTACTCATGAAGAATTTCAGCTCCTCTCCTTCTAGGATATATCTGACCTCTAGGTGGCAGCAGTGCACACCTAAGTTCAATGAGCTCCATCTTCACCCCAAATGGTGCACAGGTACAGAATCTCCTCAACACCTCAGCTCGATCTGGATGGAGCTCACTGAATGTTATCGTACTGGTACAGAAAAAGCTGCAGAAACTTCTTCGCCTCTGAATCTGGCCTCTGATCTTCTTCAGCACATACTGCATCACTGACTCATTATCTGCTGCAAACAAGTTTGGATGGCTCTCTGTAACTTTATATCAGTTCGACTAGTCTGCTCAGAGGTTTTGGTTTTCAAATCTCGGTTTCAATCTTTTTTGCCTTGGAACCTGGGATGGTCAGTTTCCTTTCCCTGTATCCCTTCTATGGATTAGCATGGATAGAAGATTGGTCAACGAACAGAAAGCAAAGAGTGGGAATAAATGAATCAGAGATAGTAGGAACTGCAGATGCTGGAGAATCCGAGACAACAAGGTGCAGGGCTGGATGAACACAGCAGGCCAAGCAGCATCATAGGAGCAGAGAGGCTGACGTTTCAGGCCTAGACCCTTCATCAGAAAAGGGGGAGGGGAAGGGTGTTCTGAAATAAATAGGGAGAGAGTGGGAGGCGGATAGAAGAGGGATAGAGGAGAGGATAGGTGGAGAGGAAACAAACAGGTCGAAGAGGCGGGGATGGAGCCAGTAAAGGTGAGTGTAGGTAGGGAGTTAGGAAGGGGATAGGTCAGTCCAGGGAGGACGGACAGGTCAAGGGGGTGGGATGAGGTTGGTCGGTAGGAGATGGAGGTGCGGCTTGAGGTGGGAGGAGGGG